TAAACCCCTAAACCCTAAAACTGGAGGTGTTGGGGTGATCCAGTTGCGGCAGGTTTGACCCTGGAGCTCCTCCCGAACGCGGAGGCAGCAAAAGAAGTTTCACCTTCGCATTTCTCTGCCCCTGAGTGGTCTGAGAACGCTGAAATCCGAAACAAAAAGCTTGGCAGATCTCTCCGAGGACACACGTGGTCTTTCCAATCTCTTCTGTATTTTGCTTGGATCCCTCTCTCTCACTCTCGCTTCCTCCCCCTCACTTGTACCCATCCATCAATCCATCCCTTCATCCGTCCGTCTCTCTCGCTTTCTTCCTTTCCGTCTCTCTCGCTATCTTCCTCTCTCTCTCTCNNCCCTCTCCCTCTCCCTCTCTCGCTCTTCCTGTTTCTGTCAGTCGCTCACTTTTGAGCATGAGCCTGAGCACGGCCGGATGTGGTATGTGGTGCAGACAAGTCGACACGTACCTTTGTGAGAGCCATCCTGGATGCTTTACCTTGTGATGCGTTGAACCTTCGCCAGCTCCATTCGTTTCGTGTTTTGGGTCGCATGTCGGAAGTTGCCGAGGTATGGAAAGGACATGCAAACTACCAAGACCCCAACTGCAAAACCCTCGCAAATCTTCACATCCGTCGGCCATGTTCCCAGGTCTTCTTGTACCTGGCTTTCAACTTGACAATGCTCCTCAGCTGCATCAAAGTGCAGCCTCACGCTGCGCCAGCCAGCCTAAGACTGTCGCAGCGTAGAGTCGACCGCAAAGTGTAGCTTTGATCAGCGGAAGTTCTTGAAGTTGTGCCAACGATGACCAGCATGCCAGGAACATCTTCGCCGTGCTGGTAATCAAGCATGGCTCAGCCGCCCTGCCGGAACCCGAGCTTCTGGGCCCTCGCCGTCCGAAGGCACGCTAGCAAGTATCTTGGGGCTTTTGGGGCTACTTGCACTTAGGCTTAGTGCAACATCTGCGGTGTTTGCTTTTGCTCAGGTCCTTCCTTGTCTCCACACTGCGGATGCCGCTGTCAGCACTGGCCGGCCCTTCAGAAGTTTTCCAGGTGTTGAAAGGGTGGGTGGATGGGTGGGTGTTTGTGTGTTTTGTGTGTGTTTTAGCTCCTAGGACTGAAGCCGTTTCTGACAAGATAGGGTTGGAGTCGGAATGCTCCTTGATTGGAGAATGTTTTTGATGTCGACAGGGCCACGTGACATGCCTTGTGCCTGAGGCATTTGGATCCACTTTGATCATGGGTACGGCGCCTATCCGGGCCCATGGCATATGAGCGGTCCAGAATGAAACATATGGATTTGTGAATTCGCCACCAACGGGGTTTTCAATTGGGCTTATAACCGAAAGAGCCGGAAGTGGCCAAACCTCAGTGGTGTGGGGGTGAAGAGCTCCGGGGTTCTGTTTGATGTGCTTCTGGCACTCGTTCCAGATTCTTGGGCCTGAAGCAGCGATTTTAGAAGGTTGTGCTTATTTTCAAAATCTAACACCATATCAGCAAGAGTCGGCAAAGCATTTCCACCTGCTCTCGAGATTGATGATTGAGACAGCGTGCAGTGAAGCATGCACGTTGTGCGCCGTGCTGCACCGCAGCCTATGTCGAGGCAGTGAGGCCGTGACACCGCAGCTGCACGACCTTCTGAGCCTGGTGGTGATCTTGCTAGGCTGCCGTGATAGCAGCTGCTAGCAGAGGTGTCAGTGACAAGCCGTGCCAAAGCCAAGAGCCATTCTGAAGATGTCAGGGTCAGGGTGCAATTGTCTGCTGCAGCGACCCGGTATTGGTGTGGAAAACATAGACAGCGGGAAAGAGAGAGAGAGAGAGAGTCGTAGCGTACGGGGAACAGGGGCTTGCAGTACAACTACATGGGGCAGCTTTTGTCTTCTAATGCCGCGGTCAGAGGCGACCCCAACGCCGGCCACTTAATAAACAAATGAGTGGTCGGGCGGGCCAAAGGCCTG